CGCTCTCCCCCAGCCTGTAACGCTGCAGGCGGTTTTTGTGGCTGAATGTTCACATTGATTATGATGTTAACATGATGTTAACATTTGATCCTATGTTTTCCATGTCCCCCTTCTGCCTGAATTCCCTGAAAACGGTGAAAGACGGCAAAGCTTTTGGAACTAGGAATTGGCAAAACCGAGGCTGTTTCCTACTCTTCTTGTTTTCACCCACACCCGCAGTACCTGCCGACGTGGTCTGAACCTCCCCTGGCCATCTCCTGTGCATACAGATTGCTGCTCCTCTAGGATCTTAATTGTCTTCGGCTTTTCCCATTCAGGGTAAATGTGTTTAAAACTTTACGCTCTTGGAAAGACATTGTGGTTTGTGTTTGCTCTGAGACAAGAAACCAATCCAATGTGCTTTGTTGAGAGTCTTGGTTCCAGCTATTTCTGAAAGCCACATGACAGAGCCACGTACAGGCGAGCTTGGCCCTGGCTTGGCTGCGATGACGAGGAGTCGGTGAAGGGTTTTGCCACCTCGGAGACTGGTAGCTTCTAGGTAAGCACGATCGTAAAGAATAAGCTCACTGGATGAGGTGATTTCCTCCCTCTCTCCACAAAAACCTTACCTTTTGAGCCAGGTAGATTTAACAGCACGTGCTTTTGGTGGACCCTTTGTGAACAGAGGGATGGAGGGCTCTGATTCCGGGGCTGTGGAGGGCAGGGAGCTGCTTTGCATCGCCTTTCTGCAGGGCAGCTCCTGTTTGGTTTCACGAGCCAGGAAGCTCCCTGGAGATGCCATCGAAGGGGTTTTCCCACCAAGCGTGCGCACAGAACCAAAGGATCTCTGTGTAACTTTCCCTTCCCAACGGAGGACAGCTGCCCAGCAGCAGTAAATCGAACTGCAATGGAAACGCTGTCTTTGTCCCCAGAAACTGCCGTTCTGCTGTGCAGGAGCAGCCTCACGTGCTCATGAAACGCGAACCAAGGCCCTACTCACTGTATTTTCTGGCCATCCAGAAGGAATCTCGTTTGTCTTCCTATTCAGGTTCTGGGGGGCTTTTTTGGTAGATGAAAAACTATCCGCAGCTGTGGCTGAGGGTTTTGAGACACCAGGTGTAACTGGAAAATGAAAGGGAAGGCAGGGCTGAGCCTCTCAGTTTGGGCTCCAATAATGATAATGATTCAATTTAGGCTTCATCAAAGAAGAGGGGGAGGGAGGACGGAGCAGGCGGTTTGATCACACGGATGCCCATCAGCCAAGTCATAACCTGCGGCACGCTGAAGGCAGCAGTTCAGTGAAAGGACAGGCTTTGCAGGGCTGTAATTACCGGTCCTGCAGTGCCTCCGGGCAGCGCGAGCTGGTCCATGGCAAGAGCTCTTCGTCGCCCTGGGCGGGTATGGAGACCTGGCTCGACAAGGTGCTTAGAGCTCAGTCTCCATCATGTATTTGCACCTGAGAAGCTTTGGGATTTTTTCAGTTACACCTGGGGATGTGTTTCTTCATCCTTTGCTACAGCAACGTTGGCATCAGCATCTCCCACTAATTTCTGAGAGCATGCAAATACTGATATAGCTACCAGAAAGCCGTTTAAAGTGAAGTACCTTAGCAGATGGGACAAAGCAGTAACAAAACCAGCTAGCACACACATCAAGTCGTGCCTGATTTGCGCTTTATGACAAGCCACGGCCTTAATCAGTTTTGGGGACTGGTGTGCACGCAGCCCAAGCTGCAGGCAACTCCAAGAGGCACGTCCGTGCGATATAGCCGTAAACACAACACATCCACACCCAGAAACACATTTCAGTTCACAGGAGGTGTTGGTGCCCCAGTGACCTCCCCAACACCCAGGGATGATAAACAGACCCAGCCGCAGGGCCAGGCTCGCTTACCGGCAGCATTCTAGGGAGGATGAAATAAGATAAGATGCTTTTTCTCCCCAGCTCCCTGAACTGTGCCCTTGCCATCTGCACTCCGGAGTATTTGCATGTTACAAGCAGCGGGGCAGGTAAAACGCACGGGGAAGATTGCCAAATTATGGAATTTCTGCCAGTGTTACTGGGTGGAGGAGGAAGCACGGGAACGCCCGTGCCCTGCCTCCGGCTCCAGCATATGTAAGGACGGGAGTCGTGCCCGGAGCCTCATCTCTGCTCAGGCTCCCGCTGCCCCGGGGAGGGAGGAGCAGGCTTGGGGAAGATGAGCTGCAGCAGGTACCCAGTGGATGTGAAGGCTGTAGGCTTGATGCAGTGCAGAAAGCAGAAGGTACTTCAATGGTTTCTTCTGTTGTTTTGTTGTTTTTTTTTTCTCCTGAAATATTTACAAAACGGGAAACTAGAGGGCTTTTGGAGTTACTCTTACAGTGGTAAGCTTGCTCATTTCCCCGCAGTGTTGGGATTAGAGCCTTGCCATCTAGGACAGAGGTCTCTTGGACTTGGTTTTTAATGGGCTTAATAGCATAAGAAAGTGGTTATCTTGGATTCTGCTGTCTTTCTGTTCACAGTGTCATAAAATTCTTCCGGTTTCAACAATGATTATCCATTTGGGGCTTTAAAATTGAGGAAATATTTTTGTAGGTCTAACGTTTAATTTCATTTCTTAGTGTGACAGCCTTGCAGCCTGAAGCCAGAACTAAACCACAGGTCCTGGCAAATGCTGATTGCTTGAAAGCATCCAATATCGAACACTGTGATTTAAAAAATGCATTTCTTTTCCCTTTTATTTTTACAGAACTACATGATGTTTGTGTCTTGGTCAGATCAGAACAACATTCTCATCTACCGGACATTTGAAGACTTTAAGAGGTTCCATGTAAGTGAATATCTCCCTGAGAATAGGATTCCCATCCTGGGGAGGGGGGAAGGAGCCCAGCCGTGTGCCAGGGCTGCGAAGCATCACTGTGCTCTCCTTCTCCTCACTTTTAGAAAGAGCTGAAGAGAAAGTTCCCCATCGAGAGTGGCTCACTCAGGAGATCGGACCGGACAATACCCAGGTTTAAAGGTAAGGAGACAAAATCTCTGATAGACCAACAAACACGACAGAGCTGTCGGGGACAGTCGTTACTGATGACAAGCTTCAGTCTCTGAGTCCGACCTTTCTCTGGAACGCATTAAGAGCTCGCTCCTGCTCATGGCACGGTACTGCTGGGTTACAGCAATGTGCTTGGGTCTACTACAGACTTAAAATGACCCAGAAAGACTCTTTTTTTTTTTTTTTTTAAATAGATAATTGCACTTGGTAAATTAGTATTACACTTTAAGAACTGGCCCAGAGCTCCTTGCAACATTTAGGTGTGAACAAGGAAAAATTTTAGATATTCAAAAATTGTATCAGGAGCTATTAAAAATGACAGGGAGGCAGAGAGAGCTGCTGTCTCGGCTTCTTACAGCCGGGGCTTGGGTGGGGAAGGGGGTAGGTGAGGGCACCTCTGTGTCCACACAAAAGATGCGGCTCTCAAGGCACCCAGATCAGTTGTTGTCTTACACCAGCTTTGCTCTTGTTATTTTAAAGACGCAAATGTGAAGCAGAGGAAGAGTGGGAAGCTGAAGAGGTGCCTGGAGATACTGAAACTGCTGGAAACTTACTCCCAGGAGCTGCTGAAAACCGATGTTAAAATCTCCCAGGGTGAAGATGTGATTCAGTTTTTCAAGGCACAGACCCAAGACCTAGATCCCTCCTTTCCTGAAAACAGGTATGAAATCATATTTGTGATTTTTGTTTGTCTGTGTCTGCATGAAACAGAAATGTAACAGAATACATGTGGAAGAGAAACAGCGGTCCCATACTGGGGCAGCAGAGCAGGGAAGTTCTACTGCATGCTTTAATGCGTGTTTATGTTGTTTCTAATGCCTAAGCTTTTCTTAGCCTACTGCATAGATGATTTTACCAAAATTAATACTAAACTCAACCTTCCATGTGAGTTTTCAGTAAACTGATATTAAACTTTACTTTTCAGTGTTGTGATCATGCCGTCAGAAATTGGAGGGGAAAAGAAAAACCAGCCGCGGCAGCAGCTCTCCTCTATTACACATCCTCAGGCATCCCAGAGCTACAGGTGCATTGAAACCTTTGAAACCAAAGACACAAAGAACAAGACTTTCAAAGTCGCCAAGAAGGAAATAGTTGAAGTGTTAATCAAGGACATGACCGGTATGCTTGAGAGCGATTCTTCAGTTTCAGGGATGGATGGTGTAGATTGATTCATAGCTTGGCAAATGCTGAGTGGGCAGCGTCATGGGTGGGGGTGGGTGGTTTGTACATGTGGTGGGCTTACCCGGATTTACACAGGAGGAAAGAACAAAGCGTCAGTCAGCACGGCATTGCCAGGCACTGAGCCGCTCTGCAGAACATCCTTCCTGTCTCTAGTGGCAGAGCAGCCCCTACCTGGGGATTACGGTCAGCCGGCTTCTTGCAGGTTGTCAAAACCCTGGGTTTTTTTTTTCCCTGTTTGCTACAGGCTGGTGGCTAGTGGAAAATGCAGATAAGCAGATAGCCTGGTTCCCAGCCCCATACCTGGAAGAGATTGACATCCACAAGGACATCCAGAATGCCTTGAGCTCAAATGAGGAGAGTAAGTCTGCTTCTGATCCCTGGGACACCACATTCCTCCTTCAAAAAATGAGTTCTGCAAAAACCCCACCACTTTAACCACTGCTTGGAGTCCCTGCCTGGCTCTCTGGAGCTCTGACTCTTCTGATCAGCTCTGCCACCAGCTGTGGGTCTCTGAGCAGATCAGTCACTCAGGGGGACACTTGCCCTGCAGCTCTCGCTTGCTCCCCAGGGCTGCTGAGCTGCTCTGTCACAGCGACAGAGGCATTTTCTCCGCAAGGCAAAAACAGCCTCCCCCTTCTCTCTGCAGGCAGCCTGTACTTCGTTGTGCGGGCCTACGAGTCTCAGAAGGCAGATGAGCTCTCGCTGAACAACGGCGTCATCGTGGAGGTGGTCAGGAAATCTGATGATGGCTGGTGGCTGATCCGGTAAGGAGGCTTTTCCGAAGCTCTCATTCCCCAAGGGTGCCGGTTACCTGTTGTGGGTGCTTCTTGCCTGCTCTTCCCCAGGCAGGGTGCAGAGGACCTCCCCCCAAGTTGTCTGCCCCTGGCTGGGGACGGTCTTCCCCTTCTTTGTACCCCGTGTGCAGCACTGGGCTGAGTCCTCTCCTGCTTCCCCTGGGTGCTCTGCTCCCTCCCCTTGGTCTGAGCTGCGAGAAGGGCTCTTTTCAGCATTGCTTTTCATCCTTCCCCCTCAGATACAATGGCCGTACCGGCTACTTGCCCTCCATGTGCCTCCAGCCCTACAAGAATCCTCATCACAAGCTCCAGACCATCATAAGCTGCGGGCTCAATGTCTCCACCCCGAACCTCTGCTCCTCCCTGATGGGTTCCCAGCCCCAGGGTGAGGCCACAGGACAGCGCAGGGTGCAGGCTAGCTCTTCCCTTGACCGGACAGAAGAGGATGTGAGCTCTCTGAGAAGCAGATCAAGGTCTCTGCCCAGGGCCAGCTCCACCCCGGACCTGGAGTCAGACAGCTCGTCCCTCAGCTCGGGGAGCAGCAGCGAGCAGGACGGCCGGCTGAGCTGGAAGCCCGACTTGTCAAGATCTCTGCCCGAAGTTGAGCAGGCCAGGAGCTCTCCCCTGGGGCATGCCTTGGCCTCGCACAGCAGCAAGTCTCCACATCTCACCCACAAGGACAGGAACGATTCTGGCTTTGTGGAGTCATCTGCAGGTGATCTAAGTTACTCCCTCACTGACCCAGACTTGGCCGCTTGTGTCCCCAAGGTCCCCGTGCGTCCCTCAGCCCACGAAATCCTCCAGAAGTGCAGCACCGTCACGAAGCGAGCCGTGCAGCAGTCTGCCTCCCGGCCGGCACTCCAAGCTCTGCTCCCTCTCCCAAGTGTGCACTAGTGCCCCCGGGGGGGCACAGACCCAGCCCTGGGCCAGCACCACGACCGAGAGCCAAGCACCCTCCTTGCCAAAGTCCCGCAGGAGCCAGGGGCAGTGGTGTGGGGAGGGTCAGGACTTGAGACTGTCGCTTTCCAAGGACACGGTTAGGTCCCAAGGAACACGCGCGCAGACATCGCCGCCGTGTCCTTGGAAACACTGATTCATGCTGCAGCTTGCACAGGGAGGCCGGGGAGCCAGGAGGGGCTTTACTGGAGTTAGCAGGAGGGGATTTAGTGGTTTAACTTATCAGGGGACTCACGGCAGCTGCGGATCTGGCAGCTCCTGTGTCAGTTAGAGGTCACTTCAGATTCAGTTAATTCTCCCTCAGGCAGGTATTTATCCTGCAGTGTAGTATGTGAAAATGTCACAATCGTTCTTGCGTTATTCCCCGCGCCGGGGCTAGCTGGCAGAGCGCGCAGCCACCCTGGAGAGCGGAGTGAAACCCAGGCAGAGTAAGCGACTGAGTCACCCAGGAAATCCAGAGCTACAGGGATTGGTATGGGGTAGGGGTGGGATGTTGCAGCCATGTGAGTGCCTTTTTTTTTTTTAAAGGTTAGGTCAACCTGAGTAGTGGAAAACTGGCCATCAAATATCAGAATTGGCTGGATCTGCTGAATAGCTGTGAGAACAAAAAACCCTGTTGGGCTAGGAACCTCACCAAAATGGTTGTAGTGCAGCTTGTTTCCCAACTGGGTAAGGGGGCCAGAGCTCATTTTTATGAACAAAACATTCCCCTTTCAAGGGGGTCTAATAGTTACTGAAACTCACAGCAATTCTCATCCTAAACTTGTTTGCTAGAATTGAGTTAGAAAAATAGTCATAGGAAAATTTAACACTTTTATATAGATTGCTACCTTTAATTTTAGTGATTCTCCCAGGTATCTGTTAAGTTTATTGAAACAAGCAATTTAACCAACTTGTGAGGTGTTTCTGTTGTTCTAAATTTTATACAATTTTGTCTTGGAAATAAAATACATGTAAATATCTATGAAGACTGCTTTTTATAATTTAAAAATTTGGTAGTTGGGGAATTAAAATTGTGCTTATCTCCCTCCCGGGTGCTAACATTTGGGGTGGGCACAGGTGAGAGACCTGCCATGGTCCAGGCTGCGTTCTGCCCAAGCAAAGAAAATATTCAGTGATACAACACTGATGGCCTAGCTGGGCTTTGGGATGTGACAGGACATTGCCAACAGTGTCTCCCAACTCCGTAAAGTCTTTAAATCCCCAGTAAAGACCAACTGCTCTTTCAGAGCCAGGTTCTGCCTTTTCTCCCCATCAAGCACTGTTCAGGCACCTGGGCCTGAGAATTCAGGGTGAGAAAACACAAAGGGAAACCACAGCTTGGCCAAAGAAACAACCCTTTCCTCTCATTAAGCCCCAAGGAGACTGAATGCCAGACTTGTTTTAGAAATTAAAATTAAAAAAATTTATTATAAAATACAGGAATAGTCCAGTTGCCGTACCTGGTGGGAAAGCAGTTCAGACTCTCGCCTCCGGAAAGAGCAACTGGTGGGAGGAGGCTCACGAAGTCAAGTCTTCCTGCTGGGCTGCATCGGCCAGCCTCATGTTTTGCCACATGAAATCAATGAACATGGAGGCCTGCAGCAATCGGCTCAGTCTCTGAAAATGGCGCTCTGCAAAGAGAGAAATCCAATGGTCCACATCACAGGAGACAAAACTCACCAGAACAGGGTGCAAAAATCTCTCTTCTCTTTAGACCAAGGCAAACAGGGAATATTCCCAACACAGGAGGAGACCTCGGGCTCACAGCCCATCCCTGCAGCATGACTCACCGGTGTAAGGCAGCAGGGACTCCACAGCAGATTTAATGCCCGAGTACTGCAGGAGGCTGTCCGGTGCTTCGTGCTTCAGGAGGGTTTCAATGACAGCTTGGGCCTCATGGCAGTTTCGAGAGTTTGTATTCCACGTCACCAAGAACGTTAACACTGCCTCTAGGGAGGAAGGAAATTTGTACATGCTGGCTATGCCACAGGCGCTGGCATGCAGGAGATGCCGAGTTAAGAAAGCGTCTCCTGCCTTACGGAGCGGGTCAGGTCCCGCACACCGAGACTGATGAGTCCAGAGGGGCAGAACAAGCACACACAGAACCGTTTCTTGAGCTGCCACAGGGACACCCTAATCACGGGGGCGGTGAGGCCAGGCAAAGCCACCCACACAGCTCAGAGCAGTTTCTGGGGTGCGCCCCGAGCAGCACCCTAACCAAGAAGCTGGCCCTGGGCAGCAGTTGGGCCTGAGGGTGGTGGGAGCTCAGGGGTAAACACAGAGAAGGGAGATTCTTCTTTTATTTTCAGTTGAGAAAACAAGCCCTGAACCTGAAATGTTGTAGCACTTAGGCCATGTTGCAACAAACCTTTCTGATCCTTCCGGAGCCGAACAATGTTCTCTTCCAAGTGCTTTCTCCCGTCAGTTTCCTTGAGGATGGCTGCAGAAAAGAGAAAGGAAGAGTCTGTGCAAGAGTCCAGCCCATGCACCCATGGGCTGAGAGCAGGGAGACTGTTTGCCATCTGGAGTGATCTCACTTAGGAAAACGGCAGTCGTAGGAGAAAGGCAAAACTGAGGCTTTTAGACAATCAGACTTTGTCGTATTGGTCTACTTGGAAGAGATGTTCTGGAAAGCAGAGAGGGCAGAAAAACACCTTCGGAGCATAATGTGGACTCACCTTTGACCACCATCAACACTGTGTGCGGACGATCCAGAGAGATTGCCAGTCCTAAAGCTTTGAGATATCTTTTCTCATGAAGCAGGTTAGAAAGCTCTTGCTCTCTGGAAAACAAATCAGGGTCAAGAGAGCGAGACAAATATTTGGTTGGTGGAAAAAACCGCTATACAGAAAGTAGATTTGGCAATAATAGTGTGCAGAGGTTTAACGCCAAGAAGTTAATATTGTTTGCCAATGAATGCCTCAGTGCCCTCACTGTGCAGATAATTACCCTGGCACGTTCAAGGGCTCCCTGAACTATTCCGTGCTGGCTGAAGCAGGAGAAAGTAGGTTTCTGCAGTTTGACTTTGCTTGTCCCAGCAGTGCATAAACACGGAACTAATCAATTGCCAAGCTGACAGTATTATAGCAAGGCTTCGCAGGAACTAAAGATAAACTACAAAGCCGAAGAGACTACTGTGCCTTGACAGTCTCTAAATAGCTAAATGATGTAATATTCCGATTAGATCGAGCTGGATGGCTCGAAGTGTGGACGGTTTCACTGGTCAGAGTTTGTCTTTCACAGCTCATTATTGCACAAGACCAACTTACTTCATAATCTGCTCCTCCTGTTTAGCTTGCGCCTCCTTCTCTTCAATTTCAGTGACATCCTATAAAAAGCCAGCACACAACTTTGTCAAATCTTGCTTTAATACAGGTGAACTCTTACTTGGCCATGAAGTGATTGGGAGAGCAGTTTCTGCAGCAAGATCTCTAGGTCAAGTAATTTAAGTGTTAAATCCAGCAACTCCCAACTTCCCTCCAAAACACCTTCAGAACACCAGCACTGGGCAGGCTGCTAAGGCCCATCTGCTGTTCCTTTTACAACATCAACTGGGGAAATACAGTATGGCCAACCCCCCGCCCCAAACCCCAAGATATGCCTTACTGACCCAATTTCAAAGTGCAGAAAATGAGGAGAGCATGTGTCACGCTGGAACAGAGAGGAACAAGCCACTGGGATCCTGAGCTCTCCAACTGCGTTCTGATTACCAACCCAGAGAGGAAACACAGAAAGACCCCGCACTGTACCTTCCACAGTGTGATGCAGGAGTCACTGGATGCCGTTACAACCATATCATCTTGCTTGTTAGAGTGAAGACCCCAGATTTTATCTTCATGACCATCTAACGTTTTCACACACTCATTTGTTTTAATTGTCCAGAGTTTTAAGAGACCATCAGAACCGCTTTTGGAAGAGAAAGAAACACAACAAAAAGAATCACTGGATAGATCCATTCTTGCTCTGCCCCACCTCAAATACCAGATAAACTTGTCGCATTTCAACACCTTTCAAACAGGAGCAGAATTAACCAAAAATGTCAAGGGCAAGATGCGCCCTTAGCTCTACCTAACTATAGTGTATGCACCAGCTCAGCAATGTCACAGCAGGGAACTAGAATCCACAGTGTAACCAGAGAAAAGCAAGATAATTTAGCCCCTGTAGACAGTTTGGCATAAAAACGGCATCTTCCTATCAGTCTTCCCAAAACTAAATCCATTGCACAAGACTCTTCCCTCTTGCTGCTGATACCAGCTAAATGATTTCTCTTCTGATTAGTTTTGGCATCTTCCTCTAGACACCTGGTGTAGGCACTTACCTGCTGAGCAGTTGCGTTCCTCGGCTTACAAAAATGATCTTCAGTACAGAGGCATCGTGACCTTCAAAGGTCTGGAAAATAGAAAGGAAGCTGAAAAGTGTCAGAGTCGTTGCCAGGCCTTTCGAGAGAGTCCTCTTTCAAGAGGATGATATTTACTGCTAAAGGCCAACTAGGTCAGTTCCAAATAGCAGCCTCTATCCTTGGGACTTCTACTGTAGGTTGAGGGCAGTAGGAAATGACTTGTCCCCATGGCATTTCTTCAAACAACCTGCTCGCTTAAACTTTCTGCCAAGGTCGTATTGCAAATGGTCTGAACGCTGGGGCCAACTGCAGAGGCTATCTCCCAAAAAGGTTGATTCCCCGGCCACTGCACGAAGCCCCCATTCAGTGAGGGAAAACTGCTAGGCAGAATGCAGCATGGAGTTAGCAACTGCCTTCTCATGGTCTTCGTGAGACACTACCGGACTGGAAAGATACACTCTGCTATGAAAAGCGAGTCTGAAATTTAAACTTGTGTGTTTTTCCTTCATGGCCACAGCTGTGTCAGGCAAAGCTAGCTTTCTTTCAATAGCGCAGATGTGCTCTTCCCCTGTGATCAACCATGTTGCTTGTTGGTTAGCGAGAAAAGAAAGATCAC